CATGTATTCCGAATGTTAAGAATCCAAGCTACGTTGAAATCAGCAATCCAGGGTTGGTAATGTTGGAGGACACATTCATTTTTACCTTGTGGATGCATAGTGCTGTAGGGGTCACTGTTGTATACAGTCTGTTTTCTATTTGTTAATAAAAAAAAATCTACAGCATCATTGCATAATTCTTGATGTTAATAAATTTGAATAATTGGGTTTCATACAAGCTGGCTTTCCTGTCTGTTTCTTCTGCAATAAGCCGAGGCCATAGACTCCTTTGGCAATTGGCACACTCCTCAGCCTGTGGCAGTTAATTTCTTTCCCACAGGTATCTCCCAGCCATGAGTGTGCCACACTTTCTGCAGGGGCCCTATGCCTGGAGGGAGCTTGGAAACCTTCTATGACAATTCCTCTTGTGCATGTGTGTGTTCACCTCCTACCTCTCTGCAGCTGCACAGGAGTGCACTGACTGGCTGGACTTGCAGGAAAGAGAGGGATCAATGGTGATGGTTGCCAGCCTCCTGGGATGCTGCAGTAACGCTGCTCTCTAGCACTGAGCACAGTCATGTATTCATGTGCTCAGTTATTCATGTTAGTGCTCAGCAGTAAAGCCATCACCTGGCCCCTGACTGCAGAGCAGCACCCAAGTTTGTTCAGGTGTGAAACCCCTGCCCAGGCTGGCAGCCCTCCCTGCTCTGTGTGGACAGCCCAGTCCAGCCCTGCCTATGTGTGAACGGCAAAACACAAAGTGTCAGCTCCTGGAGAGATCAGCACCTACACACAGCACAGGTGTGTGAGGAAAAAGCCAGTGCAAGGGGCAGAACCACATGGATCAGGACTGTATGGCATCTCCATCCTTCCCAAGGGAGCCAAATCTGCCCTGGCCAGCATGTCCACGATGGGTGGGAGTGCATGGCAGACTGAAGAGCTTTTCCCTAGCATAGCTATGGGCACCATAATGATTCCTCAGTGACTGCTGGGGCTCAATCACACATAGTGTTCCTTGCTAGGCCAGACCAGTTCCTGGGTAGGTGCCAGATGCAGAAATGTTTTCCCCTTGCCTTGCTCATTCTTACTACACTGCTTCACTACAGAGTGGCCTGAGGGGCTGTTGGGCAGCCTCACTGAGGATGCAGATCCACAGGCAAAGCAAGCTCCTGCCCCTGTGAGACAGCACACGTGTGCATGTGTGTTTGTGGGCACGTGCCAGCATTGCTAGCATTGGGATGCTTGTCATTTCTGTCAGGGCCCAGGATGGCAGAGCAGCAAGCCAAGTGAACACCTGCTCACACACGGGTGTGTCTGGGGAGGATGGGCACCCTGCTCACATCGGTAGCCAGCCAGCTGGGAGATGGTCAGTGAGCACCTGCCTGTGCTGCAGCAACAGTGCTTGGGCTGTGCTGCCAAACTGCAGGTGGTGATAATGCTTCTGCCACTCACTGAGCACTCAGCAGGCACTGCCACACAAAGCTTTGGTCCATGTACAGCCTTGAATGCAGAGATCCTCACCAAGAGTTGCCAGAACACTTAGAGATATGCACACATGCATGGGCCTTCTTTCTCCTTGTCCAGGAACAGTTTGCACTTCCTTCCCCACCTGTGGGCTTGTCTGTGGACTGAGCAGAGGCAGGAGGAAGCAGAGAAAGGGTGACTAACCTCAGCATGGAGTGCACAAAGAATAATACGAGTGAGCCCAGGCCTCTGTGACAAGGCTATTGCTGGTAGCCACATGGTCAAAGCCTCGTGCTGATCTCGCAGGCCAGGAAAGGCTCAGTGCACAAAGTGTGAGCACATACCACCTTGTCAAGGGGACAGGCCCCCCAGAGGTCAGAGAGCAGCAAAAACAGCTGCTGCTGGGACAGCTTTTCTCCAGTCCCTTTTCTCCACTCCTTTGGCCTGTTCACACAAAACCAACACTGCTCCAAAGGAAATGGACTTGTATAATTTTAAAAACACTTACTCTTTCACTATTTATTTCCCATTATTTCTGTATATCTCACAAGATAAAAGTGGAACAAAACATGGTGCATAGTAGATGAACAGCAATGCCAGCCTGCTCTGCCCTCTGAGCCAGCACTACAGCTTGTGCCACACTCCAGGCAGAGCCATCCTGCTTCCTCCCAGGGCTTGGTACTGACATTCCTGGGCTGCTGCACTGCTCAGCTTTTCCTGGCTAGAAAGGATTTACCACAGCTGGCTTTTTTTTTTTTTTTTTCTTCATTTTTCCTTGGTATCAGCTTGAGACTTTTCCCTCCCTCTGGTATCAGTACCACACTGTGCTCCAGATCTGAAGGGAATGGTCTGGAGACAGTGCTGTAAGACACTTTAGCTTCTTCTGTTTGGAGTCTCAAACAGACCAGCCATATTTGCACTGAGCAATGGAGCTAGGCTATTACTGCTGTCTTTTTTTTTTTTTTTCCCTGGTGAAAATTTTCCTTTCCTTAGTTATACCAGGTAGCCCCAATGCAGCCTCAGATAAGCAGCTCTGAAAAGGCCACAGTTTGGCAGGTGGGACAACAGCTAAATGGCAGCTAGTCAAAGGTGAATTTCTGGACACTGAGGTGCCCTTCTGCTCTTTCGATTTTCATATTTTTATTCATACCACTGATGCTTACAGCAAGAGCTGTTCAGGCACTGCCCAGGCTTGGCTTGCCTCCTAGTGATGTTAACTCACAGAATCATACAGTGGTTTGGTTTAGAAGAGACCTTTAAAGATCAGCTACTCCAAATACCATCCTGACCAAGCACTATCCCTTTGGGATTCCATTGCTTTAAATTTTGTTTTTCAAAGACAAAATATTTGTTAAATAAGGAGAAAGAAATAGCTGTAACACTGAAAAAAATCTGAGCAGACTCTGCACAGTAGCTTGGCAACTCCTTCCCCCACAGTCCTCAAATTTCTTGTCCTCAGCAACATCGCCATTTTCATTTCTAATGTTTCCTAGTTAAGAGTGACTTCTTTTTTTCTTTTTTTTTTTTTCTCTTTTTACCTTTTTTTCCTGTTTGACCTGGTTCATTTCTGAGGGCAGGAATAATCCTGATCCTTCCAATTAAAAGCTCATTGTTGCCCTTTTTCTGGTTATAATAAACAATCTCAGTCCCCAGTAACAATTACAGGTTAGTGAGCTTCTATGCCTACGCATTTCTGCTCACAGGAACATTTTGCCACTGAAAAGGCTGAGTCGTGTCTCCTGTGGGCAGCAGGTCGAAGGAGGTGATTCTGCCCCCCTACTTTGCTCTTGTGAGACCCCACCTGGAGCACTGTGTCCAGCTCTGGGGTTCCAAACACAGGAGTAACATGGACCTGCAGGTAGTAGGTCCAGAGGAGGTCCCAAAGATGCTCGGAGGGCTGGAGTACCTCTCCTGTGAAGACAGGCTGAGAGAGTTGGGGTTGTTCAGCCTGGAGAAGTAAAGGCTCCAGAGAGACCTTACACAATTTCCTGTGCCTAAAGAGAGAATTGGAGTAGGACTTTTCATGAGGGCCTGTAGTGATAGGACAAGGGGGAATGGCTTTGAACTCAAAAGAGGGCAGGATTAGATGTAAGGAAGAAACTCTTCCCTACAAGGGTGGTGAGGCACTGAAACAGATTGCCCAGAGAACTTGTGGATGCCTCATCCCTGGAAATGTTCCAGGTCAGGTTGGATAGGACTTTGAACAACCATGTCTAGTGGAAGTTGTCCCCGTCCAGTGCAGGGGGGTGGAACAAAATAATCTTCAAGGTCTCTTTCAACTCAAACCATTCTGTGATTCTATGATAATAGAAAGTTTGTGTTTCTTGACTAAAGGATGACAAGTGCAGCTGCCAAGCCACCAGAAAAGCCAGAAATGCAATTTGCCTCAAAATTGTTACCTGACAGTTGTCTTGATTTTTTATAGGAGGCTGTGTGTCGTGCCTGGTGCTACTGTAATCTGCTTTGAAGGGTTGGTATGTATATACCTGGCAATTCAAAATCTGAGCAGGTCAGAGAGGCAGCAGACAAGGGAAAGCCTGTGTTGGAGTGGTGTTTCGTTAGGCCTTTCAGGGCTGCTGCCTGCTGTATCATGACAGCAAAGGAAACACGTATTAAGAGAAACAGAGTGAAATCAAGGTTTTTAGGCATGAGGGACCACGTGTGGTCTACAAGGACGGCTATGACCTTTTTCAAGTGGGCTGTGCTTACTTTCAAGGTTGCTCATTGGCACTTAGAGATTCAAAATGCATTTAGCACAGCAGAGTCTGAAAATCGCAGCCTGTCCCAGCCAAGGAGAGGTCAGTGTCCCTAGACAGGGTTTGTTAAGCACTCGCCCTTGTACACACTCAAAGGCATTTGCTGCTAAAGCTGTACTGTCAGGTTCCAGTCCTTGACACAAACGGTGGCGGATTATTGGCAGCATCCGCTGGCTACGGCGGCACTTTTCCACGTTTCTAGATGACCGGACTGTGCTGGCCAAGCGCCCTGGCGTGGGCCGGGCCTGGTGCTGGTCCAGCCTCAGTCTGCGTTCGCTGCCAAACGTTTGCAAAGTATCAAATTCTACTCTGGGTTTGTTTACACACGGAAACTGTAGGAGTATAATTAGCGGGGTTCGTGTGCTCGGTTGGCAGATGCCTGTTGTGTGTCACCGCTCCGCGCCCGAAACTCACCCGCTCGCTGCAGCACCCACGTACCCGGGGTTAGCTTCCACCCCGCGCTGAGCGCCCGCTGGACCGGGATCAGTCACCCGGCGACACTGGCGGCTCCGGAGGCGGGGAGCAGGCGGGATACAGGAGGGATGCGGGAAGGAGCCGGGTGGGATGTGGGCGGCATGGGGACGGTGCCCCCGCCGTCCCTGCGCGGGCTGAGGGTGCCCCGGCGGGGCCCCCGCTCGAACGCCCCCTAGCGACTGCCTGCTCCCGCCCGCCCTCCTGCCTAGCAACCGCCCCGCGCCCGGCCTCTTGATTCGCTGGCCCGCCCCGGCCGGCCGTCGAATTCTTATTGGCTGCGAAACGGGCAGCGGGCAGCGATTGGTTGCGGCGGCGGAGGGAAGAGGCGGGGCAGCCGGGCGGGGCTCGGGCGGAGCGGAACGGTTGCGGTGGCGTCGGCGGTCCGCAGGACTCTTTGGGCGCGTGGTGCGGAGGGATACGGTGATCGGACGGTGGTACGAGGGTCGGGTGGGGGCGGCGGAGGAGCAAGGCGCGCTGCCGACGTGAGCGCGACGGGCGGGGACTCGGGTTCCGCCGCGCCGGCCGGGCCGGGCCGAGCCGGGCCGGGCGGGGGGGAGGGGGGTGAGTCGGTGGCGTTCTCCACCGTGAGAGGGAGAGCGAGCCGTGGGGTCCTGACGGGCACGCTTCCTCCGCCAATGAGGAGGCAGGACCGATGCGGACCCCGCGGCGATTGGCCGGCGGGCGGGAGGGGCGGGGCAAGCGTGGTGTCCCGCCCCCCGCAAGGACACCCCCGCCTCCTGCGCGCAGGGCCGGCCCGGCATCATGGCCTCGGAGCTGGAGAGCCTCAATCCCGGGCAGCGCATCATGACCTTCCGCCCCACCATGGAGGAGTTCCGCGACTTCAGCCGCTACATCGCCTACGTGGAGTCGCAGGGCGCCCACCGCGCCGGACTGGCCAAGGTGCGACACTCCCTCTCCCCCCGGGTGGAGGCCGGGCCGCCGGCCCCGGGCCGCGCACCGGCCGCCTCCGCCCTTTGTTTACGCCGCGGCGCCGGTGGGGCGGGCGCGCCCCGGCCGGGGCCCGGCCCGAGTTCCCCGAGTTTGACGCTGTCCCCGGCCGCGGCCCCCGCTCCCGGCCCGTGTGTCCCCGCAGATCGTGCCGCCTAAGGAGTGGAAGCCGCGGCAGTGCTACGATGACATCGACGAGCTCGTCATCCCTGCGCCCATCCAGCAGGTGGTGACGGGGCAGTCCGGGCTCTTCACGCAGTACAACATCCAGAAGAAGGCCATGACGGTCCGCGAGTTCCGCAGGATCGCCAACAGTGACAAGTACGGCTAGTCCCGGGGAGTTATGGAATGGTTTGGGTTGGAAGGGACGTCAAAGATCATCTGGTTCCCCACTCTGTCAGGGGCAGGGATTTTTTTCTCAAGAACAGGTTGCTGAGGGCCCCTTCCAAGCATGCTTTGAACACTTGTAGAGATGGGGCATCCACAGCTTCCCACTGGGGTCAGGTCCTTGGTACGTTCTGGGGCCAGCAGTATGAACATCATGCTCTGGGCAGATGAGGTTGCTTGTACAGCAGACTGCGCGTGGGAACCTTTGTCACCCGTGCAGCAAGATGATGTGTAGTGGGAGCAGAACTTTTTGTTTGTGCTGTGGGCTCCTGTCTGTCTGTCCCCAGTAGCTAGACCATTGAAATACTTAAGTAGTGGAGAAAGGAACGTTCATGATGTTCATGTTTTATTTTCATGACATAAAAAAGGAGATGAAGAAAAGATCGCTTGAAAAGGAGTTGAAGCAAAATAGCCTTTGCAGTAACTAGAAATAGCATTGGAATTGCCAGCTATAGTTGGTCCATCATAGATTGTTTTATCTTTCAAAAGCAGTACAGACCAGATATTTTAGAATTCTGTTTAATAGAATAATTTGATGGAAGTTACTGTTTTACATTATATATGTAATTGTCTGGAATCTATGTATATAGGTGCACATTAAATAGGTGTTAATAGTAAATTTGATCCCCCAGTGCTACAAATAGTCCAGTATAAAGTTAGCCAAGAATGGGCATCAAGAATAGTTATTTTTCTGGAAAGCGCAGAGCATGTTTGACCATGGTACGCCTGTGGAGGTTTGGTAGTTTCACAGTGGCAGAAAAAGTTGGGTTTGTTTGGTTTTGCTTTTTAAGTTGTTCTTTGTATCATTTCTGCTTTTCACTCTGTTGTTGCTTCTAAGTAGCTACAGCTAGAAAGTGAAATTGTTCTGACCCCAGAAAAGTGCACAAAGCAAAAATGAAAGTAAACTGAGAAATGGGGAAAGTAATTTTCTTCCTGATACTTCTGTTCCCAAGTGTCACAGAAACAGAGCCATGAGTGCTTACACTGTTTATCTGGCTGGTAACACACATTAGGTATTTTTATTGTAGCTTTCCATTTTTTCAGTCGGGGAAAACATTGGTTCGGGCTTGTCAAATATCAAACTGCAAAGTCTTTAGTATCTTTCTTGTTTTTTTCAGGTACTGCACACCCCGCTACACAGACTTTGAAGACCTTGAACGAAAATACTGGAAGAACCTTACGTTCAATGCTCCCATCTACGGGGCTGACGTTAATGGCACGCTCTACGACAAGGTACGGAAACTGTTCTGGTTTTCAGGTAACAGTTATCCTGGTATATTGCATTCCATAAATACTAATGTGGCATTTGACTCTTACCTCTTACCTTTTGGAAAGACCTAATGATAGCATAGTTCCAGCTTCTGGAGTAGGCAGCTGACAGAGGTGGCATTCTAAGGGACCTTTGCTAGCACTTCATTGTGGTGCAGTTCAGTTTAGGAAAGCAAAAACCTCTATTGCCCAAGCATTGCTTTGTCCTGAAAGGCGTGTGAGGGAAGTGTTGATCAGCAGATCTATGCTGCTTTGGTATCCACTGGTGTATGTATTTTTGTGGGACACCACTGTAGCTGTTAGGTGGTAGGATGATAACTGTCAAGAGACAATTTGCATTCTGCTTGCTTGTCTCCTAAATTACCGTGGTTTATTCTTTTAAAATATGTTTGGAATGAAAAGTGCTTTTGTTCAAGAGGTTTCAGACATCAGCTCAAACTCAATCAACATCAACTATTGTTCTCTGCTAAGTCTGTAGCTTCATGATTATTTCTCCTTTGTAGTCATTATGTTGACTGGTAATTTTTTTTCCCCTCCTTAAAGGCCAACAAGCAATCACTATGCAAGCTACCATGCAAAACTTGGGGTTTAGGTGAACTAGCTCACAGCTTGAGCTGTGTAATTCTGTGATGTACTGTTTCACAAGTGTCTGTTAAGCTTTTGCAAACTGTCATCTCAGCTATGTGGTTTTGTACTTTGTAATCCTTGTTTGACACGAGGCTTGTGCTTTTCAGCATGTAGATGCGTGGAATATTGGCAGATTGAACACAATCCTGGATGTTGTGGAGAATGAAAGTGGCATAACCATCGAAGGAGTGAATACTCCTTACCTATATTTTGGAATGTGGAAAACTTCATTTGCTTGGCACACTGAGGACATGGATCTTTACAGTATTAATTACTTGCATTTTGGGGAACCCAAGTCATGGTAAGATTTTCTAAGGAATCTTCTACGTGTAGAAAAGCAGTACCATAAAATATTGGAGTCAAAGTCACGAAGCTAAGAGTTTACTAAAATAATTACCAGTATTCTAGTCTTGCACTGAAGTTCTATCTGATGACAAGAACACTAGAAATCTGTAAGGACCTGCAGAGCAGTGCATGTCCTCAGTAGAATTTATTTGGTTACCTTCTAGAAGGGTCTAGTTGATTTCCTAATGTAGAGGGTTCTTCTGAATTACAGTATAGCATGGATGCTCTCTGCTGTGGTGGAGCCAAAACTTGGCCCAAATGCTTATCATTTCCTGAGGCTCTAAAATGACCGTACAGAGGTATGGTCACACAGGCACTGGGGAAGTGGGCAGTTCTCAACAGACTTTGAACTGTAGCTGTTTATCATATACCCAAACATCAGGCTAGCAGATGTCACTGAGTGGTTTGTCCAGTGTCTGAGCTTTCTTGATTCTTTTTAGGAGAGGCTTTCATGCCTTTCTGTTCACAAATGAATTTCTCAAGCAACTTCAACTATTGTTTCCATGGCATTTTTGTTGGAAACAAGTAATTTTGGCTGCCTTTTATTACAACTTTGAAGAAAAAAATAATAGCTAGCACAATGTGACCCATGAACAACCCCATGCAGTGGCAGTAGCAGGGAAACATGAAACAGAATAGTTCAGTCTGTTGAACTATTTGGCCATTACTTCTTCTACAGTAGTACTTGGAAGAAGTGAGTTTTGCTGGTATCTTTGATTAATTTGGCAAGGAGTCCTTTCAGAATACAGCACTGTATTCCAGAGTGAAAGCAAACAAAGTGAGTTGATTTATTTATTTTAGACATACCAGACAGGAGTTTTGTGGCACCCATACAAAGGTGTGTACAGGGAGAGACATAGCATTAAAGAGCACTCCATGAGTTGTGCACATGTTAAGGATGTGGCACCTGACTTAGTCCCATCTTTGTCTGAGCAGCTGAAAGAGGTGACTCACTTTTCTCTCTTGCCCTGTGTTCCTCCTTGCACTGAATATACTGGAGATTACACAGCTGTGAACTGAGACAGTTCAGTAAGTTCTCTTCACTTTCTCACTGCAATTTGTGTTTTGCTGCACAGATCTGCTAATTATGTGCATCAGACTTTTTACTTCCTTGACTGCTTGAGCAAAAGTTGTTGAAAGAAATGGTTAGCTTTTGGGTGTTGATTTTTCTTGGAAGAGAAAGGTAAAAGTCCTCAATTAAGATTTTTAGCTTTATATCAAACTTTGAAAAAGACAAGTGTAGAAATAGAGATTTTATTTATTTTTAAGTGATTCACATCTTCACGACTAATGATGATTTCCAGTCAAACTTCAAAATTTTGTTGTTGTCACTTGAACTTAACAGACTTGTTTTTACAACTGCAGGTACTCCATCCCTCCAGAGCATGGGAAGCGGCTGGAGAGACTTGCGAAAGGTAATCAGTCAGTTCATGTCCTGCCTTTTTCTAAAGATGGGATGGACAGCTGCAATGGGTTTCAGCTTTTTTAGAGAGCACAGGTTGGCATGACTGAGCCAATAATTTGCCTTTCAGGATATAGATTACATTACTTTTGAATGTTTGCTCATAGGGTACACACAAGAGAAATAGTCACGTTGCAAATAATGAACTTGTGGTCTGTCTAACCTTTAATGAGAAAATCCTTAGCTATTGATTATTAAAACTGGAATGTTATGGCCAAGGGAGGATCCTTCTATTTGAGGTCTTTCTTACGTTCTTTCAAACTGTCAGCTGTTAAAAGAGAAATCTTGGGGAGTTGTCATTTTTCTTCAGCATGCAAACTAGCACACTTCAAATAATTTTTCCCTACTTGTAGGGAAAAATTGTCTAAACAGTAGTTTTTCATAAAACTGCTGAAAAATAAATGTAGTTTGAGCACAGTGGTAACATCTCTCCTTGTCTTTATTTTAAACAGGATTTTTTCCAGGAAGTGCCCAAAGCTGTGAAGCATTTCTTCGTCACAAGATGACTCTCATTTCTCCATCAATTCTGAAGAAATACGGAATTCCATTTGATAAGGTGTAGAAAAGTAATCGTGGTTTTACCAGCTTGATCAAGAGGTTCCTGCAGCCTTGTCTTGTTTCTGACAGCAGCCAGTAGCAGATGCTTAGAGAGGAAAATAGAAACAGTCAGGGTATAACGCAATCCTTCCTATTGTACTTCCATTTATCTGGCAGTTGGGGCCTGAAAGAGTTTGAGACTGAAAAATCTGTCAAAGGCTCCTAAAAACAAAAGCTTGGTTTTCTGCAATATTGATTTTTTTAAAATTTTTTAACTTAAAACTAAACATTATCTTCTGTGTTAGATTCACTTCACTGTTTAGATGTGTATTCGGTGAAATGAGATCTTTCTTTTCTGTTTCGAATTTGTCCATGCTAATTTTGTTTGTTGCAATCTGCTTCCTCAATAGAAAATTAGGGTTGTCCTTATTAATATTTTAATGACATCAGTCACTTTCTAGGCTCCCTTAATGACCTGCCATTCCCTCTCTCACACAGAGATGCTAAAGATCTAGTCTTGGAATTCTTATTCAGATATACTGTATCATCTGCCTGGGCAGCTGAAGGGTTCTGTTGTCATAAGCCTTTACAGTGGGGAAATGTTGAAGAGCAAGACTGACTGAGAGTTGTACTCTAATGTGAACAGCAAAAGAAAACAGCAATAAATTTTCAAGTTCTGTGTGGATAGAAATTTGCTCAACCTTAGATAACTGTTCAGCCAAACCTCTAGTGATATAGATAAGTATCTTTATGAACTTCATATAGATGGTGACAGAGTATTTTGTATGTATAACCATGTCTATGCTAAATAGACCAGTTGTGCTGTGTTTTAGTAAAAAAACTGTTGAGCGTGGCTTTTTAGTAAACAGATATTTAACATAAGTAGGAAAGTAGTGAAGGTCAGTAGCAAGTCTGTCCATTGCAGTAGGGAGCTCCAGCCACCATCTGTGAGTTGGATTTTTGGATGTGCTGCAGAGAGGGGTACAGAAGCTCCTTTTAGTCATATTCACCAACTACCTTCTTAAACTCTGAATAACACTGTGATGTCTCAATTGTCTTCTAGGTGACACAGGAGGCTGGAGAGTTCATGATAACCTTTCCTTATAGCTATCATGCTGGCTTTAACCACGGCTTCAACTGTGCTGAATCTACCAACTTTGCTACTCTTCGCTGGATTGAGTACGGGAAGCAGTCGGTGCTGGTGAGTGGTCTGTTGCCGTCATTAAGCTCCCATTGTTAGTTTTAAGAGAGTGGTTTCAAGCCTTTTAAGATGTGACCATCTCGTAAAGTAGCAACGTCCAGGCAAAGTCCTGCTTGATGCCTTGTGTCAACCATGCATGCAGCATGCTTTGTAACTTTGTAACTTTTTTGTAAGTTTGTGCAGCTCAAGCGAAGCTTCAAAGAAAGGCGTGGAACTGGTTGTGGTTCCAGAGGTGAAAGAATATGCTTGGTGGGCAGAGCTCATTACTAATTTTCTCCAGTATTTTAACTGTTATTTATTGACTGTTTAGCCTTGAATACAACTTCAGTAACTTAAATGACTTATCAAAATAAGTATCTTGGCTGAACCTTTAAATTGAATAGCATTATATCCCTGTAGAGGTGCCTTAAAACAAGGGTTATGTTTTCAGAAGCTACATTGAAGTGAATGCTTTGAAGCACTACCTGTAACCACATTTGGGTGAGGGGAATCTCTACTGCTCTGGGTAGGCCCTGTGTGGCTCTGATTTCTTCATTATAGTCTCTGGTTTTGCAGCCTGTTTCTGTATGAGCCCATTTTAAAACACTCATTTTCTGCCATCAACTCTGTAAAAATACCTATGAGTTTTCTTTCCTAACTGTTGTGATAACATCTGGTTTTCTGTTTCGTGTTTTTTGCTGGCTTTTCTGACATTTTTAGTAACCTAATATATACCCTTTTGATTTCCTGGGAAAGAATCTTGGGAGTTCTGAGGCTCAATTACATGTCACTGTGTGATTTTGTTCCTTAAAGTCTTGAAAGCAAAATGCTAGAGAAATGCAGAGAATGGCCTTACTTTAATTATTTTCTGTGACTTCAGTGCTCATGTCGGAAGGACATGGTGAAGATCTCCATGGATGTGTTTGTGAGGAAGTACCAGCCAGATCGTTACAAGCTTTGGAAAGCTGGGAAGGACGTGACTGTCATTGACCATGCTCTTCCAACCCCAGAGGCAGCAGAGTTCCTTAAAGGGGATCTCATGCAAAAAGTCAAGAATGGGAAACACTGTGCTGAGGAGATGGAAACAGAAGAGGCTTGTAAAGAGGAGGTGGATGGGGATGAGACAAAAAGGTACTGCTTCATATAGTCCTCTGCTTTTCTATTGGATTCTTAGAATTTGAACCCAGTTGTAATTAGATGTTTGCCATTCTGATGGAACAGTGAAAGTTAGCAATAATCTTTTCTTTCCTGGAAATAGGGTTTACTCTTAATATTTTTTACTATTTAGGTCCACATTAATAGATAGCCTGTGGTGAGCAGGAAACACACCAGCTTGGAAGGTAGTTCTTCATCTTGGGACAGACCTCCAAAGCCTGGATTGGCAGTGTGTACCCTGCACTGACAGGCCAGAAGAAAAAGAGGGAGTATTGAGATTGTGAGACAATACTTGCTAGCAAATTCTGGTACAGTCAGTGCTGCAAGCTGTGGCATTGGCGTGGAGTTCCTGGTTGCTGAAGGTCAACAGCCTAATCATCTTATATTTTGCAATTTAATCTTTTTCAGTCAGTACCAGCTACTGATCCTAAAGCTGTCTTTGGTGGTGGATTTTTTTGTTGTTGCTTTGATTTGTTTGGAGGGGGGGTTTTGTTTAAGGTAAAGAATGCGTTGCTAGAGCATAGTTGCCTTAATACATGATTAACATGCTGAGAAGTCAGCTCTAGGGATTACTGACTTCTCCTCTATAAAGGCAAAGAAAACACTTCAAAATAATTTGGAAACTATTTGGCTTTCCAGAGGTTGTCTCATAAAACACTGATCCAGACCAGACTGTATTTTATGCATTCACACAGAAATTTAACACATTTACATGTTTGCTAACCTGACATAGGGATTTGTCTTCTGCAGCATCCCCAAGCACCGCATAGGAACAAAAAGGCACAGGGTCTGCCTGGAAGTGCCTCAGGAGGTGAGTGAGAGTGAGGCCTTCCCTAAGGAGGAGCTGAGCTCCACACAGTATGAAGCGGATATGGCAGAGCCTTGCGAGAGGCCCACAAATGAATTTGTGCAGCAAGGTGAACAAAGGCTCAAACTTCCAGGTAACTGTGCTAGGCTTGTCTGGGGCACTCTTCAGTGTGATGCTAGTTGGCAGGATGCTTTTGTGTCCAAAAAAGCAGACACTGGTTTGTCAGAGCCACTGCTAGCCCCTCAGAAATTTACTGTTATACAACTTGAAATATAACCATTTTCTGGTTTTTGATTTTTACTCTTTATTTTGCCTACCTGCATACAGAAATATATGGGATGCCTCAGTAGTCTAAGCTCCTTTGTAACTCTTGTGCAATGTGACCTGTTTATAGGAATTGCATAGTATAATGTATACACACTTCCTGGTACTGTGGGTCTGGTATGCTTTATAGGTGTGTTACTTGTAATTTTGTAATGAGTTGGCTGGACAAAATTCATATGGCTTGTAATGGATGAGTTATCCTTGCTATTAGGGGAGGAGCAAGGGGCCTATGGAGCAACACCAGAAAAGGGAAAACAGGTGATGCCCTCTCTTGTATTTTGTTTTCCAGCCCTTTGCAGCTTGTATTTAGTAATCTTTTATTGGTTTGTGGGGTTTTATTTTTTTTAATTAAGTCTTCCATGAACATTTGTAACCTCTTACCCACAGTAGTATATGTCCAGGAGTTGGGCTGGTTTAGCTATATACATGTCTGTATAAGGGATCATCTCTGTTTATTTTGAACTCGCTGTGTCTTCTGGTTTTGTTTGATATACCCTAGTTCTTGTGACGGGAGAGGCAATGAACAGATGCTTTTATTCTCTCCCTGACTAAGCCATCTATGACTTTTTAGGTGTTTGAATTAATCATCTACTCTTTATATGACGTACTGTTGCTTTTTTGTGTGTAGGTGTTTGCTTTTCTATGTGGCTTTGTGCAAATAGTTGCACAAATGTTCTCTTTCTGCCCAGACTTCAGAAAAACTCAGTATATCCCTTCTTCCAGATGGTGTGGAGTCAGCCAAATTTGAAGAATTGAAAACGGTGAAGCTTGAGGTGGAAGAAGAACAAGAAGCAGCTGTACTGGATCTCTCCATTTCACATGCTTCAAATTCCACTTCAGTGTTGCCAGCTTCAAAGCAGAGTGCTACATCCAGTGTTCAGTCCAGCTCACCTGCCTATTCTTCAGACTCTGAATCATCTGATCTGTTGGCAAAACAAACTCTTCCTGGGCCAGCCGGGGTGTTCACAGTCCACAGCTATGCTAAGGGGGATGCCAGCGGATCTGACAATGAACAGACTTCAGGGAAGAAAGCCAGTGCCACCTCCAGTGTCAATGAGCAAGAACTGACAGAGGTATGAATGGCAAAAGAACTGAAAGCTGGAGGCCTGTAATTCCATGGTCAGGAATTTGCTGTGACAAAACTTCCTATCTGTGCAGATGAGAATTTCATCCCACTGGTGTACGCATAGCAGGTTGCACCTCTGTGTTTGGCTAAACACACAAGAATTCAGGTGAAAGCCTTATATACTTAGCCTTTCAAGTAAGCAAGGAGATCACCTGTCTTGAGAACTTCTCTAAACTATTTATGTGCTGTAATGGAAAGGATAGCTTCGTGTTTTTGACATGGTAGCGTTACAGGATGATTGAGGTCATTTTGTACTAAGAGACACCTGTTTGTACCTAAAATGAATCTGATTTGTTCCAGCCTTTATTGCAAGCACATTCATGTGATGAGGGATTTTTAATATAAAATTGCATACATGGGTACATCTCTGTGTCCTTTTAAAAGAGGAGAAAGGATGCAACAAAAATACTGGTTGGGAGAATGTAAATCTGAGTGTTTAAAAGCTGCCAATGAATGTTTTACTAAACAACCTAAGAGAAGAATTAGAATCTTACCTGCTAGACTCTTTCCAATATTTTGTTTTCCTCTTTAAATCTGTGTTTAGAGAATGGAGGGCCAGTAATGACTTCCTAAGAAGTCAAGCATTACACCAAAGGAGCAGCAGATAGACGAATCTTGATAATTAAGCTGAAACTGAGAGATTTGCCATAGCTATTTAAACCAAAGGTTCTGTTGCCGATACAGACGTCTCCATCGCATGCTTTGTACAGGGAAACGGTGAAATTTTGAATGGGTGTGCATTGTTTCCCACAGAGCGGTGTACTTCAAAACAAATTTTCCATTAGGTGGTAATTGGAAATGCTAATTTCAATATTTCTTAGAAGTCTTGTATCCAACTCTGTGTAAAGAGAACAGAGGTAATGAATATTATGCTCTCTTCTAGCTTCTTTTATGAAAATAAGATATTTAAACATACATAAGATGCATTTAATCCAAGATTTACTTCTGCTTTTAAAAGAAAAACAGATTTTTAAAATAGGGTAGGTTCTTGTCTAGAGGGAGATTTCCTGGACTGTTGAAATCATTACCTTTACTGCCCTGCTTGTCAGGTTAGTAGTAATTTTGTCAGTGTGTCACTTGTTTTTGTATGAGGCTAAGGGAAGAGGAAATAGCTGTTGTTGCAATCTCCTTCCAGTCTGTCTGGTAAGACATCAATGCAAGTAATAAGCAGAAAGGATGAAAATGTCCTTCATTTAAAATAACCCTTTTAGTTTGAGATGTCTATGAGCTCTGTGGTTTTTTCTAGTTTATTTTACTCATTTTTTTACTTTTTAAATTTGGAATATTTTAAGTGACACACAAACTGAGGCTTCTCCAGAATCTGATACTTCTTATCATGGCTCTTTTAAGTTCAGCCATCCAATTTGTCCTTCTGTGTTTCTGTCTTTTACATGATTCTTTAAAGAAACAGTGTGAAAAGCTACACTGGGACCTCTGAAAAGTGTCCATCTTACTGACTCAACAGAGCTAGTACAGCTCTGTCCAGTTTTTTCATAACAAAAGTGCTCTGTGCACTTTGAAAAAGAGTTTAGAACTGAAGTTACTTTCTTAGAAATAAAACTGTGGAAGCATGTGTGCATTTTGAAGAAGTTTCTCTAAGTTCAAAGTTAATTGCTTCCAAAATGGTGTCAAAAGTGCACATGCTAACTGACAGCTGAATTGCTTCTCCTGGTCCAGATGGGAAAGGAGTATGTAAGCTCCATGAAGGAGAGTAAGAAGTCCAAGGGTCGTCGCCAGCCGTTGAGCAAACTCCCACGTCACCACCCACTCCTGGTGAAGGACTGCATCAGTGATGATGGTAAGTAAAGCCTTTTGCTCTTTGGGAAATTGGAAAGAAGGTCTCAGCTTCAGTGGGCAGTGTGGGATATTTTAGTAAGTAACTGGTGATAAAGAGGAGTCAGTAAGTGACAGCTCTGCCTCCTAGACAAGGTGCATATCTCATTGTATCATTAAACTTGTTTCTCAAGTGGTGTCATCTTCCTTTCCTGTACTTTTCTTTGGAAAGAAAAATTAAACCACTACAAGAGACTGTTGCCTAACTGCATCTGCCTTAGAATATTCCAGTCACTGATGTAAATATTAATGATTTAAAAAAAAACAAAACCCTAACACTAAATTCTTTGACTGATGGCTTTAGTTTTGATGTAGATGTAATTTGGAGCTGGTTCTGTTCTCACACTGTTGCTTGATTAGTAGAAGCCTCTTAGAAAGGAGACTGAGTTACTGGTTTCCATCACCCTTCTGTCAGTTTGCTTTCTGGCAGTCTTTCTTTCATCTCCATTCATCGTTTCTTGCCTTATTTAGTTTCATTTACAAGAACATCTATAAAAGGCCACATAAGCACTGTGTGAATGCTCTCTTATCACAGAGGCATCAGAGCAACTAACTCCTGAAGAAGAGGCTGAGGAGACAGAAGCATGGGCCAAGCCACTGAGCCAGCTGTGGCAGAATCGGCCACCAAATTTTGAGGCTGAAAAGGAATACAATCGCACCATGGCCCAGCAGCCCCCATACTGTGCTGTTTGTATGCTCTTCCAGGCGTATCAGGTATGAAACCAAGGCTGTTCATGCTATCACAGAGGTAACAGAGTAAACTATGTGCTGCTGTGGCACATAGTTTTAAATATGTGGGTTGGTTTATTGCCAGTTAACAAAAGCTCTGTCAATGTTGCAGTCTTCCCCAGGAGTTGTTCTAGGAGAGTACAAGTGGGTGAACATCCTCACACCTGTGATGGGCCCCTCTGGGTTCCCAGGGGCTCACTCAGCTGGTCAGCAGAAGCTTTTGTGTTTTGTGGCTTTTGCTCAAACCACAGAATGGAGCTCAAATGTCGCTAGAACTGACTAAAATCTCACTTCTCCTTTGCAGACTGACTCCTTCATTTCTAAAATCTTTTTATGAAAACACTTTAGGTCCTCTCATAGTACATGGTCTTTGAGGAGCTGGCAAGGCAGAAAACCTTTTAGTTAAAAGAATTTAGGGTTGTGTTTGTAAATGGTATAGATTCAAAGCTGTCTTGTCTTGTATCCTTGACAGTAGCGTGGGATGGGTGCAGAAGTCCTTTGTCACATTGAATAAATGTGCAGGCAGGAGTCCCTCACTGAATTTTTTGATATACCTAAGATAAATAATTTTAAGGTAGCTTGAATAGTTGTCTGCATGTTTGACCTGCAACTTTGAGATAGTTTGACTCTTCCCATACACTAAGCATATTTGATTCATTTGTGATGACTGTGTAGTTGTGGTGGCACTAGAAACCTGTTTGGAAAACATGTGGAAAACCACAGTTTTGGAAATAAAGACCTCACATTTTTGTTGAGGATTTTGATTTCATATAGTTCCTAATTTTAATGAAAACCACAGACCATAGTTTCTGTTCAGTCTTGCTATTTCTGTCTGAGAGTAAGTTCTTAGGAATGGAAATTCTACTTAGGAACTGTGTGGCACATGAGGATTTCACGTGCAGAAAGGTATAAAGTTAAAGATTTAAAGATAGTTGTAGTTTTCTTAAGATCTTTTTTGTAAGTTGCTGTTGAGCAGAAAACTCATAGCTGCAGGTTTTCAAATGTCTGTCTACACGAGGCAATGGAGCAGAAACTCTTCCAAGATTTGAGCTGTGGTTAGAGTCTTTGTTCCAACTTCAGAAAGTCTGTAGCAAGTCTGGAAACTCACTTCAGTTACCCATTCAAATAAAAAATTGGCACAAAATGCCAGACAAATATGCACTTTTCCTTTGGGAAGAAGAAGAGTATCTGCTGCTTTGGAGAAAAAAAGTCATTATTTTCTTCAATTTTGTTACAGATTTCTCTGTCATTTTGTCTTTTGCTTGACATGCAATATAAGTTTAAATCAGTAAGTTTTACAGAATTAGACTAAACAAGACTTGTTGAAAACATGTCCATTTCCTTCCAACTGTGAGCATTACCTGGACTTTTTCTCCCTAGCTTTTCAGGCACTGTAGGAGGGACAGTGCAGATTGATTCTGCTACTGCAATTTCTGCTAACAGTAATTTTAAAAGATTAGGCAAGCTATTTTGTGGTAGCCTACAAGGTGCAAAAGATGGTTTAAACATTTTTTCAAAGAGAAAGATTAATTTTTGTTTAGCTGTTCAGAGGAGTAGCTTGAATGGAAATATATGTTTGTAAACTTTGTATATCTTAGCTGCTTGATTTGACACTGCTTTAGAAGAATAAAATACAAAAGATTAGCCTGAAAGTCTCCTGAGCTTTATATGGGAAATTGCATTTTTAGTCTGCTTATTTTCCAGGAACAAATTAGTTTTAAAGCCCACTAGACTTGGTCAGAACTACACAGGGAAAAAATAATGGGGATTGTAGTAGGTGTCTATCTGTGTTTTGGTAGTCCTTCCATACTGAGGTAAGATAAGTGTACACTGATGGATAGTAGTGTTGTGATCCTCTGTATTACAGAGGGAATATGCAGAAGAGGTGTTGCCTGTAGAGCATGAGGTGGGGTTGGTGATTCCACCTCTTCTGTCAGAAGAGATGCAGTTTAATGTGTATCTTGTTGCTCATTAGAGGGATGCAATTCAGACTTTAAATTTAGTATTTGAGTAGAAAGTAATTTCATTCTGAAGCCATAGCAGCTGAGGATTTTATAAATGTAATAATAAATAGTTATAAACATAACTCTATTTTCACCTAACCTACTGATTCTATGATCTTTCAGTACCTTATGGATATATGTATGAAATTATATGTGAGTAAAAATGATGTGAGACCATTTTACTTGTAAAATTTAAATTCCCTATCCATCCCCCACAGGCAGAATGTGAAGGCAGCAGTCAAAACTCTGGAGTAATTCCAGCTGTTGTGGATGGGAAGATCCGAACTAAACCCCTGATTCCTGAAATGTGCTTTACTGCAACTGGCTGCAGCACTGACCTCAATCTTTCCACTCCCTACCTGGAGGAAGATGGAACCAGTGTACTCATCACCTGCAAGAACTGCCATGTCTGTGTTCATGCAAGTGAGTGCACCCAGATGTTACCCTAAGCTCTGGTGTTCTCTGTACTGAGACAGTACATCATAGCAGACCTCTGTCAGTTGATCTAATGTACAAACAGACCAAGGTCAGCCCTTACCAGAGGAGTATATACTTGGGTGCTGGCCTGTGGGATAGGCAGTTAGCTGCACAGTGGTTTCAAGTACACAGCATCATCCTGGGGCTCATCAATTTTAATTCCTGCTTTATTTCTGGGCCCAAGGGAGATGGGTTTGAGTTTAAATGAACTCTTAAATGAGATGTCTGTTCTAGGTTGTTATGGTGTATCCCCTGAGAAGGCCACTGAAGACTGGATGTGTTCACGGTGTACAGAAAATGCGTTGGAAGAGGTAAGGTTTTTCACAGGTGGAGTCTGGTACATCTGGGAACTTGGCTACTAAGTTAATTCACATAGTGTTGTGAATGTTGGTTTTTTAATTATCATGTGAAAAGAACACAATTTAGAGAATATTTAGGAGCTAGTCTCTTGTGTTTTGGTACTTTTAAATCATAATGATATCCTTTTAACTGATGCAAAACTGCTGAGCTCCCTTGAGTCAGAGGGAAGATGTTCTGCATGAATGTGGGAATAGCTCCATTGTCTGTCTGAATTTATGGTAGCTACTATTTCTAAGCCAGAAAATAACTTGTGTTTATAACTAGGCACATGTATGTTTGCATGTATGCACATGTGAAGAAAGCAAGAAGAATGGGATTCCCTCAAACAGCTATATAGACTCTAGGTCAGTGGAATGGGTCAGCCTTTCGATTATTATTTCTTCATGTTTGTTCTGGATCCTTTTACACATCCCCAAAGGATATAGGGTGTTGCAGGTGTAAAAGGAACCCATAACAAATAAGTTGACCCTTCAGTGGTAGATTCTGCTTGCCTTCAACAGACTTAGAGTCTATATTTGTTGCCCTAAGGGCATTAACTTTTGAGAGCTGAGGAGCTGATCTGTACAAAGTAGTTAGCTCTCTTCTGACAGCAAAATAATTTTCTACCTCTGGATGTGTATTTTGAGGTGGAAGTTCTGCAGCAAGTGTGGTGCACTAGCTAATGCTTTCTTCTTTACTCCAGGACTGCTGTTTGTGTTCATTACGAGGAGGAGCACTGCAGAGAGCCAATGACGACAAGTGAGTGTTTCAGATTTTTTTTATTTTAAGGAGAGGCTGAGTTCCTAAGTACCAGAGGGTAAGCTGGTAAACTGCATTTGGTGTAACAGGGTGACCGACAACACCCTTCACACTTCCTGTGTTCATTGTGTTCTCATGCAGCAATTCTTACCTCTTTAGGTAATGCCTGGTTCTCATTCTGTTGATAGCAGCTGTTAGTTGTTTTACATTTGATAGTGCAGAGCTGTAATATGCAGAGGCATAACCTACCACGTAAAAATAAGGTCCCAAATGAGCTAACATCTCTCAGTACCTTCTCTACAGAGGATTTTGATTTTCTATCTTATTTGTGGTTACAGTAATGACAGAGGGCAACCATAGTTTTAAGTAGCACAACATTGAAATTCAAGGTACCTCTACAGCAAAATGTGCATACAACTGCCTGTCCTGTGTCCGTGGTTGTGGTGAATTATCTAAAGTTATTTGATGCAAAATAGCAATGGGGCAGACTTGTAGCACCGTGAAATAACAAACTTGGCCAGGCTGCCGTTATCATGCAGGAGTTACTAAATTGCTTTCCTGTTAAGCCTGTTAATAGTGGATTTTAAGTATGAAGAGATTTTGGTTTTGCCCTACATGTGACCTGTTTGTAGCAGTAGGAAGATTACCCTGATCATTCTCACAGGTTATTTACTGTGGTTTATATGGCAAACTTGAACAGAACTGTATTCACTTAAACTCCAAAGCATCCTCTGCTGGTCTAATACATATTAATTTATTTTTCCTTTCTTCTGTCCTGACAGGTGGGTTCATGTGATGTGTGCTGTGGCTGTACTGGAGGCAAAATTTGTGAACATCGCAGAACGGAGTCCTGTAGATGTTGGCAAAATCCCCCTGCAGCGTTTCAGACTGGTAAGGATCACCTGTGCTGCATCAGGGGTGTCTGTAGTCCATTCAGAATTTGAGGGGTTTTGTTTATCCCATCAAACCCAAGTCATCTTGGTTCAGTTTCCAGACTGAACTGTATAATCTGCTCAGCTCTGTGTATGAGAGATGGCAGTTGTCCCTATTGCCATTTTTCAAAATCTTTCCTTGTTCTAGTGTTTGTGTTTATGCACATGAAGAGCCAGCAAAAGGGACACTGTTTTCAGTATGTGGCAGATAATATTTATACAGTGGTGTAATGGTGATAATTTGTTGTGCTTGTTTTCTCCTCCCTAGTATTCCACTTGCTTAGTTGACTGCTTTCAAGCACTGGATGCTTCAGGATATGTGAGGCATTCCTATAATGGGTGAAGGTCTTCAGCAGGAAAACAACTCTACTTAACAGCTCAGTGTTGGAGGGAAAATGACTCTGCTTTCATATGCATTGCAGATAACATTCTTTTCTTACATCTGCCCAGCAGGCCCAATTGAGTCACTGGTAGTAGTGACAGAATTTTAACTGTTACCTTTGTGGTCATTTCCCATTATTCTAATCTTGTTTCTTGCATTTATATAACTTTTTAGTCAACTGCTGAAAGGCCCTATTGAGTTGGAGCATTGCAAGCTGATCTAATCTTAGATCTGTTGCTGGCATCCTTGGGTTGCATGCTTTGTGCATGTTGAGCTGGTAGATATTTAATTTACATTTTTCCTCTGTTGCATTACTTTTATGAATTATTGTCTTGTCATAAACTAAAACTGGTAGCTGCCTACTTCTGTTTAGTCAGAAAGCAGCAGTATTTTCAAAGAGGCTAAATAATGGCTAAATGAGCTATTATATGATAAGCTGCTAGTGAGCCTTTGGTGTGGGATAAAACCTAGTACCAATCAATAACGTCTAGTTTCCTGTCCACAGAAATGCATCTTCTGCAAGAAGAGGAGAAAGAGAATTGCAGGTTGCTGTGTACAGTGCTCACATGGTCGGTGTCCCACATCCTTTCATGTCAGCTGTGCCCAAGCAGCAGGAGTCATGATGCAGCCTGATGACTGGCCATTTGTTGTCTTCATTACCTGCTTCAGGCATAAGACCCCATCTCAGGCAGAGGTGTGTAGGTGTGTTATTCCTAACATTTGAACTGCAGTGTGTTGAAAGCACTGAAAAGTTTAGTAGATTGTGTGATTATTTTGAAACATCACTGAAGGCTTGGCTGTCTCACAGTATGTAATGTAATCTAACCGTGTTGGTCTTGGATTCTGATCTCAGCCTTGCTGCTACTTTGATCTTTGTCAGGTCCTTTACTGTACTTAGGTTTGCAGACCAGAAGGACTGAAAGCATCACATCCCTCCTGTGGCTGTGTTGTAATGAGGAACACTAGTGAGATTTATGCTGTGATATTTAATATGCAGGAGTTAATGCCAGTGCTCCAGCAGTCTTCATGAGTGGTCACAGAATATCACATTTAAGTGATTGATGAATTTTTAAAGTTCCCATTCAGCCTTTTTAACCAAAACCACAACAATCTTATTAGAGAATGTTTTCTGTAAGGGCCTTCCGTTGCTCTGAAGAATGAGAACTTAATTGACTAAGTAAATTAAGGACAGTAGCACGTAACAGATTAGACTTTAGGCATTTAAAATTCTGGAGGCAGAACTTCTCTAAAAACATTGCTGATGATGGCTTAAGTAGAGTAAGTCATCTGAATTAAAATGTTTTGCTTTGCTGTCTGCCAGCACTGGAGCCATGGTCTTCAACACATGTGTTATTGAGTCAGTGTATAAAAAGTGATTTTTCTCTTCTCAGCGAGCCAAGGCTGCACTCCAGGATCTGTCCCCTGGGCAGATAGTCATCAGCAAGCACAAGAATGGTCGCTTCTATCAATGTGAAGTGGTCAGCCTTGCAAAGGAGACTTTCTATGAGGTCAACTTTGATGATGGCTCCTTCAGCGATAACCTGTACCCAGAGGACATTGTGGTATGTTGTGCACTGGGGTTGTGGTACAGGACACATGATACAAGTCATATATACCTTTCTGCTGTAGAGCAGACACATCAGGGGATCTGGTAATTGTTCCCTGGGTGCTGTAGTGGCTGAGCTGTGCTCCAGAATGGCCTGAGGGATGTTACCTGAGGCCATATTGAGACAAGTATAACAGGGAGTGCAGCTAATCTCTGGCTGCTTAACAATCGTAGGTTGGAAGGAAAAACTTGCTGATACTTGCATGCCATCCTCACATAAAATACCTTGAAGATACCACTATTGGGATTTAAATGCAGATGACATAAATAGATGTCTCTCAGCCTAGTTCTCCATGCCTAAAATTGAGAATTGCTGGGGTGCTGTGCCTTGGTAGTTTGCTGAATCTTCACATAAGGAAGCTGCTTACCTTTTCTTGTCTCTCCCATCTTCCCTCTTCTTTCTAGAGTCGAGATTGTCTTCAGTTAGGTCCCCCTGCTGAAGGGGAAGTCGTGCAAGTAAGATGGACAGATGGACAAGTTTATGGAGCCAAGTTTGTTGCATCACATGCTATCCAGATGTACCAGGTACAAAATGGCTGTCTGAAAATTCATCACTTAAAACAAGCCAACCATGTTAACAGGGTTGCTATAGGGGAGTTATGCTTAAACACTCCAGGGTAAGTTACTCTTAATGTGTTAGCAATGACAGATGCTGGCAACAGCTGCTGAAAGTGACTGCTTGCAGCTGTATGTACATGTGTCTACCTACTTGAAAGTATCCACTTCTGAAAACTGCTGGTCTGCAGTTCTTCATCAGACTCTGTAGTTTAAACTACTTAAAGTAAGTTTATTTTGCTTTTCTCTAGTGAGAGTGCACCATGCCTTTTATGCTTCCAAAGGGATGAATATTCAGGCTATATTAAAGTGAACAGCCAGACTGTCTTGTCAGGTGTTAAAAGAATATCCCAAAATTTGCTGGGCTATTATTGTCATGAGATTATTGAGGTTTCGATTCAATTCTGTTGTAGTGTGCATATAGCTGCATTTGTATCTTACCAATTTCAAGTGGTAGAAGATTATTTCACAAGAGAGTTCTGGGGAGAAGGCAACTTCTGCGTACCTGTGGCAGGGTGCTAATTTGTGAGACTTCTGACAGAACAACTTCTGGTTCTCTTCTAGGTGGAATTTGAAGATGGTTCACAGCTGATGGTGAAAAGGGATGATGTATATACTCTTGAAGAGGAGCTTCCTAAGAGAGTGAAGTCAAGGCTGGTAGGTAAACAGGGTGCAAATTCTACTAAAGAAATTTGTTTTAATTTGTGCTTGAACAGCAACCTGATCATGTGGCGGCAGCAAAATACAATCTGCTGCTCTCCTTAATCATTGCAAAGCTAAGTAGTTGATCAGGCTACAAAAACAAAGTTCTGTCTCAGTCTGGAGAGAATTTCTCTTTCTGCAGGGTTGTGAGTTTGTATCAGTCACAGACTGGGAGAGCACACTAATGCTTTTTCATGCTCGTATTCATAAGTTTGATTGTCTACTTGCACTGCAAAGAATGGCCAAGTTCCTTCACTTACCCTTTGTTCTGAGAAGCTCTTAGTAGAGTTGCATCAAAAGAGCTGGGTGTTTCTTGAGACTGTGAAATAATTCAGGTGGGAAAGGATCTCTGCAGGTCTCCAGACACCTGTTCTGAACAGGGGTAATTTTCAGAAAGGGCTGCTCAGGGCTGTCTCCAATTAAGTTTGGTTATCAATAAGGGTGGAGATCCCACACCCCATTTTGTTGCTTTACACTTCCCATTACAGAATTTGTAGTTACAAACAGCACATGGGGGTGTCTTGCTTTACAGTACAAACATGCACACCCCAATGCAGATCTATTGCCAGGCACAGAAGATGTTAGAGGCTTAAGAAAGAATGTATTAAAGCTGAATTCTGTGACCAGGTGTTTAAACATGCCTGCTCCATAAAGCAGAAATTGTACTAGACTGTTTGAAAATTTGAACAGCTGACTCTGTTTATTACTCTGAGAAAGTGATTGTGAATTTAAATTAAGTGCTGTTACATTTGAAACTTGAGATTCTTCAGATCTCTAATTACAGTTTGCTCAAACTTACCCCCAGACCTGCAAATCCAGTTTCTTAAATATTTTTCTTTTTGTGTTTGGTCAGTTTTTGAAGCAAGCTGAATGTTCCCATGTGTCTTGGCTTGGTTCTTACATGTAATAGGAGGGTGTGGAGACAGGGATTTCATCTGTGCTCTAGTGACTAATTCTGTCTTTTTCTCTTAGTCAATAGCTTCAGATATGCGCTTCACAGAGATCTTTGAAGAGAAGGAGGTCAGTCAAGAGAGGAAGAGACAAAGAGTGATCAATTCACGCTACCGTGAAGATTATATTGAACCTGCCTTGTACCGGGCCATCATGGAGTAAACGCTGCCTGTGGCAGAGGAAGAAGATGCCCAACCTCCCCCAAGGATTTAAACGTTCCAGTACAACAGGCCATATTTGGATGCTTTGAATCCAGGGTTTCTTCTGGGGTTTTGTTCTTTTATATTTTAAGGAAGCTAAAAAGCTGATGCTCTGCAGTAGCTGTAAGGCAGCTGTTGGATAGTGAAAGAGATCCCATTTGCTGAAGCTGATGCCTGCAGATTGCTGGTCTGAAGTTGGGTCCTTACCAAATAAGCCAGCTTGGGGATGCTGCTTTCATCTTGTTGAGCAGTCTTGCTTTTCCTTTAGAGACAATTTTGACAGGTGGCAAACTCTTTGGAGAGTTGTTGCTAGGAATCCTGGCAGCTGCAGAATAGTGTGGTCTGTTGTTTTAATTGAATAATGTTCCTGAATTTAGGAGTCTCCCTGGTGACCACACCTGGGCTTGAGCAGGCAGTATTACTGGTGCTGGAAATGGAACCTCTTTTATATTTATATCCATTTTTTGTCGCAAGCAGCTTCAGTCTCTTGTTTCTCAGCACCTCCTTTCTGTGGTTGGGCTGTAGGATGTTCAAATCTGAACAGAAAGGAGGTGCTTGTGTGAACAGGTGAAATGTGAAAATGAATCCTGTAGGACAAATTATTTAACCTTCCATTTAATATTTTTGTTCTGATAGTGCTTTTGACTTACTTAATCATAAGTTTAATTGTTAATAGTATGTGCCTCAGAACCAGTGAAATCTCTCTGGAGCCTTGTGAAGTGCAGCCTTCTAACAAGACTAGGTGTTCAGCTCCCAACAGACATGCACCTCCCAAAGAGTTTCGTTTGAGTTTCTCTAAGGCAATATGACTAAAGGGACAGTCCTAACTCTCCCTTCTTGAAATCCAAGCATCACAGTGTTGGGGATGACAGGGCAGCGGTATCTGTAGCAGTGCTGTTCTGGGGCAGCACTGTCTATCGTGTGTCCTCAGGCTTTTGCTTACAGCAGCTAATACTGGGTCTGAGACAGATGAAGTATGCACTGAGCTGTGTGTTATTACTGAAAGGCTGTGCAGTGCTCTTCTGAAGCAGGAGTGCTACCGTGTTGCTGTCTGGCAAAGGTTACCGTAGCATTTTTATAGAATATTAGGACACATCTCAATTGTGGTGAAGAGAATTTGCTACCCCAGCCATTGGAAGCTGAGTTGAGCTGGGTTATTAGGTGTACCTGGAAGATGTGCCAACTTGCTCCTATTAATTTAAGCATTAACACATCACAGTAGGAGCAGTGTAAGTACATGTTCCTTTCCCATTCTGTAGGAAAGGGATTTTAGGCTGTGGAGCAGATTGGCCACCTTCTTTTTGCATGGAATGATGGAGTGAGTTTTCCTACTGGAGAAAATCATGATTGTGTGTTCTCCAGAAACTGTTCAAGAGGAGAATTTTCTAATGAAACAGACCTAATGCATCCCTGCTTCTATAGGGACATGGCCATGTGTCTGCAAAGTCTGGATTTGTAACTTTTTTCCTTTTGTTACATAGGAACGCTATAAACCAAACCCTTCTGAAACCCCGGTGCATCAATTTGTGATTAGCAATAAAATGTAGTATTGAGTAGTGATACAACTCTTGATCAGAAAAGAAATAAACTGCAACTTTTATACAGTAAATCTTTATCCCTACATTTTTATAGGGTCAGGAGGATAAGCAGCCAAGATTTGCACAATCACTGTTTTACACTGCTTTACAGAGGTAATCTGTCCTACTTTTGTGGTGGAATACCTTGTTCATCAGTATTGGAAGGCTTAAACAGATTCTGAAAGGAGATAATGGCTTTCTTCTGCAGTTTTTGGTTTGTTTTATTTTGGTTTTTGTTTTTTCCCTTTTGCCATGTCTAAAACCCCTGGTCTCAGGGTATTAAATGTTTTTCTGATGAATGGGATAGTTGGCTTGATAAAACCAGGTCTCTTAATACCCGAGTCTGGTCGCTGTAGTTAATCTGGTCCAGGCAATAGGAACAAAATTGCACTTTGATATCTGAGCTTGTATGTAAGCCTCTGAAGTGATGTGCTGTGAGCAAATGTGGAGAAGAGCTGGCAGGGCCTTAACAAACTTGCCTTTGTTTTGTCAGAGTTAACTTGGTATTAACTTCTCATAGGATGAACACTACCTGCGTGTTACTGAAAAACATACTTCTTGTCTCAATCTGCCACTCTCCCTCCAGAGAAAAGGTGCCTGCATCCAGACTTTGTCCCCAAACTGCTATAGAACTTGAGTGCACATTTTAGGTGTCACATGCTATGCTACCTGTGCTGCAAACACCTGGCTCAACAGCTTCATCCTAAAACGATGACGTCGTAAGAAACAGCTGGATTTGTTTGGTGGTTTGGTGTTCTTCCTTGGGTTGGTTCTTGGAGCTGCTCTGTACAGGGCCAAAAGTTGGATTTTATTGATTCTTTGGTATCCTTTACAACTCAGGATGTTCTGTTGTTCACCTGCAGCAGATTTTGCCACTCATCTCTGACAGTATTTAGTGACTTTTAAGAGCTCCTACACATAGTATTTGTTCTAGAACAGAAGCTTTGTTATCAGTTTCTGTCATGTTTTCTGCAGGTGCCAGATTTGCTCTTGTTGACAGTTGCACAGCTGACTGCACTGTGTTGGAAACCACTGCCATCCTGTACTCTGAGACAAAGGGCCTTCCCAATTTTCCTGTCAGTTCTTGTGCTGCAGCTTTCAGATGTGAGCACTCTATTTCCTGTTGCAGGGACTAAACTGCATTTTGGCTTCTCTTTGAACTTAAAATCAGTGACCCTGATGTTTGAGGGGACTTTATTATCGACTTTGCAAAAGCACTTTGATTTATGGTTTGAAGTATGTTTGCTAGAGATAGCAATAAAAGCTCTGTAGAGAGCAGCTGTCTCAACAGTACACAGGCTTTCCATTACCAAGACTTTTATCATGTCTGATAATTTTCTCCAGTGGTTGTGTTTTTTTTCAAAGTGTGTTTATCACTTCTCCAGCATCATTCCAGTGAGAGTGAGGGGCTGCCAGATTATCAGCTAGTCAGGTGTTCTTGAATATGTTCAGTACAAAATCATGCTCAGTGTGCGCTCTGGTGACCCTTTGGTCCATTGCACGTGGTGCTGCAGGCAGTAGACCTCTTCACTTTTCATGAAGCTTCCATCTGTGACTGGTTCAGGTTGGACCCACAAGGAGCAATTTTTGTATGAACAAATAGCGGCTTGCCCTTAATTCAGGACGATCTTCACAAGTCAGTGATAATTTTCATAAGATTTTAAAAGGTGACTATATTCTTTGTAAGGCACCCGCTTGCAGTAACATTTCTGCCTCTGGCTGGACTTCTAGGAGACCGCTTTTCTATCAGCAGACTTCTCAGATGACCAGAGGCAGAACTGTCAGTAGTGTGACCCATTCTCCTTGCTGCTTCTCTCTCTGGTGTTTTGAGCTGGGTTGCATTGATTCTGCACTGTTTGAGGAGCATAGTCACTTATCCTAAGGCTTCCAGTGCATCTCTGTTCTTCCATTCTTTAACTGGGCTCCTGTTGTCTGACATGTCTGCAGTTATGCGTGTTTTTAAATGAAATGTGGGGTGAAATCAAGACTGTATGTTGTTTTCAGTTTCCTCAAGAAATAAATCTAATTTTAAAAAAGACAGTTTGTAAACTAATTTAGGAGCTGAAGCAATGGAACTTGGAAATTCTCATCATGCTTCTAATTTTTCTATTAGCATTATGCTTTTCTAATATTCGTCTCCTTAATGCCTATCTAGTGAATTCTCAGGTGTCTTTCAGAGACTTAAGTGGAGGTCTGTCATTTAAGGACTCAGTCCAGCTTGGCTGTTTAACTAGAACAGGGGTGGAACCACAGAATCCTCTCTCATTGAAATACAGAGCTGAGACATCTGCAGCAAGAACCTTAGGTTCCCTGTGTAGCTGAGAGTGCCAGAAGAGGAGTCATCAGAAAATCTTACCTGGGCGCAGTCTCAGACTGCTCTGTTCTTTACTTTGGGGTTGACTCTTGAATTTCACAGTGCTGGTTAAGACCTGCTGAATTGGCAGTCGAGGAAAGAAGATTCTTCTACTTTAGCTCAGGGCTTTTTGTTACTGATACACCAAGTGACCTTGAGGAATTTCCTTATTGTAGGGTTATTTCAGTTCATATCTTTGAAATGTAATGTGCCAGCTTTTCTGGAGCCAGCTTTTGTAGTTTGGGGAAAATTATAATGGCTCCTTTTCCCTGACAACTTTGTAGATACTGCATAAAGATACTTCCAGTGTGAGCATTTAGATTAGTGTAAAGTGTATAGTATTTTCAGTTGAACACGAGCAAAGATGATGTTGTATTGCTAAAAGTCAAAATAAGCCTTTTTCCTCTTTTCCCATAATCAGTCTCCATTTTTCCATGTTGCTGTTAGGGCCGTTGAATAGCTTTAGATTTCTCCCTTGGATGAATGAAGAGTACAACACTTCAGGTGGCATTTGTTGCTTGGTTCCAGTAATGAACATAGCTGAAGGTGTGTATCTGCAGTTTCCTTTGACCTCACCAGAATGATCACCAGAGGAGTGGGAAACAATCACCTGATTGCTGTCTTTTGATGAAGCTGTGGCAGATCCATGCAGAAGCACTGCCACGGCCTCCTTGCTGCAGCATGAGTAATGTGACAACACCAGCATCAAAACAGTTCTGACAGCACCTAGCAAATGAGGGAAGTGTGTGGGAGGGTACTGGAAAAAGATTTAAATTGTATAGTATGCATCTTAATTTTGAAACAAAACTGAGTGAGGTAGGAGAGCCTGAGAAGAGGTGTCTTTGGCCTGGAATTCTGCATTTAGGAAACGTTCTCACTGTTATGAATGGTTCTAGTGGGCTGTGAACACCTTCAGTACACAATGCAGGAGAGAAATGAAACAGGCCTGCTGCTGGGCTCTTCTACCTCCAGTAAGTTACTGCCTGGCAGCATGGGCCCCTCATGCTGCCCAACACCCCAGGAACTGAGATGCTCTCAGCATTATCCACACTACTGGCTGCAGGAAGAGCTGCCTCCTCACAGGCTGTAGGTAAGGTGGGTGGCTGGTTTTCATATGCAGACTGAAGTCCTCCATATAGAGTTAGGAGCAAACCTGTCTTTACAGCCCAGAAAGTGTGCTATAGATCAAATCAAACTACTTCAAGAAGTATTGTGACTCAGTCTCACAGTCTTACTGAATTTAGGGAGGCTTGGCAGCATGTTGTACCCATGGACCTCCAGAGATACTTCAGACATGGGGATCAGATGGTTGTAGATGACCTGATACTCACTTGGACTCTCATTTCCTCAAGTGCTGCTGCTTCTCTTGAATACAGTATCTCTGCAACTCTTGGGTTACTTTTCTTGCCTATCCTCGCAGCACAGGTTAACTCAAACTTCATTCCTGATAGCCACAAGCAATTAAAAAGAAATGACAGTGTCCTGGGTGCCAGGATAGGGATGCCTTTAGCATGGGTGATAGGTGCTGATGGGCTGCAGGTACGGAGGAGCAATTAACTTACAGACAGTTCCATGGAAAACAGGAGTGGTGTGATGCAGGAGAGCAAGGAAACTGGTGATGGGGAGCAGCTACACCAAAGGGCTGAGCAGCTCGTGTGGTTGCCTGTGGTGGATGGCTGCCCAGGCCACTTGGCTCTGCAGCAAGAACACAGCTTTGCTTGTCCAGCCCCAGCAGAGCCAGGGTGGGATGAAGAGAGTAGTTGTGTTGGCAGCCAGAGATGGGTCTGTCCTGAGTCCTCTCTGGCTTTCCCAGTTCCAGCTGGATAGATATTTCCAAACACCATTTAACAGCTGCTGACCACAGGGACCGGCAGAAGTGTAAATGCTCATATTCTGCCATTCTGTCTTTCATATGCAGAGGTAGCACAAGACATCTTGTTTGGACCCTCAGCCATTCACACTGTGGGGCTGGGGCCAACCCTGCTCTTCCTTGCTGGCTGGAGGGTGACTCCTGTGGGAGCAGATGTCTGCAGTGCAGGGAGACCCCCAACTTGGGCCCTCAGCACTGTGCAGAGCCTGGCAAGGAGAAAGTACAGAAAAAGAGAACTTGGCTCTTCTCCCTCCCCAGTTGAAGTGGGTGAGGGGCTGCCAAGGGCTTTACAGCAGGGAGAAGAAAGACAGCGTTCATGGGAGCTGCGTGACTGTGAGCTGGTGGGCTGGGAGCCAGGCACGTCATCACCTGATGGGCCAGCACACGAGGAAGAGCTTCTTGCTCCTCAGCTTCTCCAGAGGAGCCCTTTCAAGGGGTCACAGCTCAGTGCAGTGGTCTCTCCTGCCCCTCTGCCCTGCCTGTTCCAGGCTGGACTGTTACCTGGCCCAGTGCGCTGGGGAGGTCTTTCCTCAGTAGCCTGATTCCTTCATTGCTACCCTGGACCATGCTGGTTGAGATCCCTCCTGCCTGCCCATGTCCTCCACTCTGTCATCTTGTGGGTACAGATTTGGGGGACCTGGATCAGTCCTTTGGCCATCGGTGCAGAGTCTGCAAAGAAGCAGCCTTCATTTTTGCCCTGGCTGTGTGAAGGCTGCAGAGATCGTTCCCAGAGAGTGCCGGGCTAGGGCTGTAGGGGTGATCCTGGGGACTGAACAGTCATCACCTCTCACAGCAGATTCCCCACCCCTTTTCCATGCAGGCTGGAGCCTGCCTAGAGAATCCTTCCTCCAAAAGCTACTGGACAGAAGAGCCCTTGTGCAGCCTTTTTGGAGAGGTGCCTGGTACCTGCTGAGGCAGACTTTCCACTTCCCAATGAACAGATGCCTGGCTATGGCTGTGCCATATGGTGTTTTGGACTCACTCCTCTCCCAGCACAACCTGTCCTCCAGCCCTAAAGGCAGGTGAGATTGCTCAGGATTCTGATTCCTGGCGACAGCTCCGCGCAGGCTGTGGGAGCTGCCAACAGTCTGGTGCAGGGAGAGGTGTGACAGGTCTGTGCTTGAAGCTTGTGCCTCTGGGGAAGGGCTGCCCAGGCAGTGTGGCCTTGATGCTGGGTCACCATTCCAGGAGAGTTTTGGCTGCACATGGGGCTTGCCCTGCTGGCCCAGGATCTGAGGAAAGTGCACTATGCGATGAGGGTGAGTAAACGGCACTTCAGGTTTGTGGTCAAGGATGCTTGTGACATCCTGGGGACACCTTTGAGGCTGGGATGAAATCAGACTGCCTGCCAGGCAAGCGTCTGTATCAGAGCCAGAATCTCTGGTGCTGGATTCATGATCTTTTCCTGTAAGCAATTCCTGTGGGAGCTGCTACATCCTTCCTGCCCTCTCCAGCAGTGTCTGCTGTTTTTCCCACTCAGTCAGGTTTATTGGGTGAGCAATTGCCTGAGGCTGTGTCAGCAGCTGTGCTCACTGTCAGACCCTGTGGATTTGGGGTGTGCAGGGATGGGAAGGGAGGAGCTGGCAGCTTTGCCCTTTGGCAGCATGTTGCAGGGCACAGAGCCAGCCAGCCCTCTTCCTGGCCAAGCTGTAAATTTGGCCCCTTGCTCTTGTGCTCCTCTGGTTTTTCCTGTGGGCTGAGGGTTCATCCCACTCCTTCTGTGGCCACTCTGCTAACTTGTACTTCAGCTCCCTGTGCCCCTATGCTCGCACACACAGTGCTGTCAGCTCAACTGCCTGGGTACACTTCTGACTCATGTGCTGCCTGGGCAGCTCCCCATTTCATCACTGTTAGGATTTCATGGCAGTGGGCTGTGAAACTTTGTTCCTCTCTTCCCTACCCTCCTCAATCCCATGCATCCAGGAGGGACAAAACCTATGGAGCTGTCTGCCCTGACCAGGATATCCCCACAGTGATGCTGTGCCTGTCCGGGATGCTCTGTGCCATGGTTTGTCCCGTGCACCTCCCTCCTATGGAGATTTCTGCAGCACAGACCAGGATCCCAGGATCCTGTGCCAGTGCAGGGCAGAGGAGCTGGTGCTTCCCCAGGCACTCTGGCAGGGACCAGCCATTTCCATCTGCATAATGGAGACTGTAGCACAACCACCATCAACCCACTCTGGGATATTTTTAGGCCAGCTCTGCTGATGAGGGAGAGATGACAAGCTCACTCCACATCCAGACCATGCAATGCCTTTCCCAGCTGCAGCCACCTGGTGCAATGGGAGAAGCGTGGGCTGTTCCTCCAGGAAATGCAGCACTGACTGGATGCTGTGGCTCTGGGCTTGCTGGGAGCAGCTATTGGTGCAGGATACCACCATCCTTCTCCCTCTGAACTTGTGCAGATTCACTGCTTTTGAGAAAGCAGCTTAGCAAATTCCCCACTGGCTCTTGAAGTTGAGGGTATTTCCTGGTTTGTGAAGGAAAAGGAGAAATCTGAAGCTGTGGGACTGAAGCATGGCAGTGACATGCTTGCAGATGGTCCCTTGCTGTCACAGAACTAGGGAGCCCTTTCAGCTGAGGAGCTGGCTTTTGTGCAGGGCCTGAGGCTTAGAAAGCCTATGGGAAGAAGGTATCAAAGCTTCCCCTTTTCATCAGAGCCCTGTGTGGGGCTGCAGCTGGTGGAGTGGAAGGAGCAGTGATTTGGAGGTGACTGGGGTGAGTTGATGGAGGACAGGAGAGCTGGGGCACAAAACTCTCCTGTGGTCAGGCTTGTGTGAAGCTGGTCCCTCAGCACTGCTGGGGAGCCCTTGCATGAAACAGGTCCCCAATGCCCTGGATCCACACAATGACACAGTGCTGCTGGGAGCTGACAGTGCCAAGCCATGACTGCATTGTGGGTTCTGGCAGAGGGGAGAAGTGTCCTACACAGAGTCTGTGGCTGGGTTAGAGGGGGGCTGGGCTGGAGCAGGCTGTGCTACCCAGCTTCACACCAGGGCTCAAATGCCAGCCCAGGTGGGTTGTAGGTGCTGGACTCTGAACACAGGACTTGTCTGGGTGACTGTGCTAATCTATGCTATCCACCAGGAACCAGTCTGTCAGAGAGGGTGTCGCTGGTACCAGCACCTCACTGTGTTGGTCTTGTCCCATCCCTGCATTGGAAGGACCAGTTCAGCTGCAGGTGCAAACCTTCCTCAACTGGTTACTGAGACCTGGAATGTTCCAGCCCTGAGCAGCTGCTTCTGCCTTACCCTGTGGATCTGCCAGCATCTCCCAGCATAGTGATGGCTCAGGTGATGGCTGCAGAAAGTTCATATCCCCTTGGCTGTGGCATAGGGAGGTTTTTCCCATGGAGCAGGGTGGAGAAGCGCTGTTGGAGAGGCAGAGCTTTGTCCTCTTTCTTGTGGCTGGGTGGGATGGGCTGCAGCTGAAAACAAGGACCTGCTGGCCTGGCTGGTCCCCCATACGACTGCTGGGACAGGGGCACAGTCCTCCATTGGCTGGCAGCTCTGTACCCTCACTGTTTAGGATCCCACTTACTACACAAGGATCCAGTGTCCCCTTAGTCCTGTTCTCATTCATACCTAGCAACATAGACTTCTGTCGCTTTGAGTGATGTACTTGGGGGGTTGAGGTGTTTCAGCAGCACCCTTTTGTCTGTGTCCTCTGCCTGTGGCTGGCAGCTGCCTCTTCATGGCTGCTATTAGCCCACATCCTGACAGCAAACAGAGCACCCAGAGGCCTTTCCCCCTGGCTGCTCTAACTCCATTATGAAAAGCAGCTGCAAGAATGCACAGGTTTTCATAAATGCTGAATCTCCAGAACTGAGTGTGTTCATGTCCCACAGCAGAGCACAAACCCTTGGCCATATCCTGCAGCGCAGGGGTCGGGGCAGGGGCTAAGCCCTCAGTTCCTGCACCCTCCCACACAGCTCCTATGGCCCACTCCATGCTGGGTGGTTCCTCTCCTTTCTTCATTTTCCTAAGAGGGAGCAGATAAGCCTCAGCACCCAGGAGTGGGGAAGAAAGGCACTGGGACATGGTAGGGCTACCTCAGCTGGTAGCCACCCTGCCAACCCAGGGCC